TCACATCATATGGGTACCAGGCCACTCGGGAGTAGTCGGCAACGAAAGGGCGAATGTAATAGCTTTAAAGGGAAGGGAGCTCGATGTAGTTAACCTGACAAACGCAAAACCATTCGACGCAACAAAAGCTGAATTAAAAATATGGATGAGAGAATCCCATAAGGCCTCTTGGAATAATGAAACGGTGGGTAGAACCACAAAGATTCTATGGGGTGACCCTGATGAGAGCAAGACGAGAAATCTTCTCAAAATGAGAAAGTCTGAGGTTAGTATGATGGTACGTATTCTCAGTGGACACACAGGATTACGAGCACATCTATACAAAATTGGACGTGCGAATTCAGACGAATGTAGAGCATGTGGAGAGGACAGTGAAACTCTGGAGCACTTTCTTTGCCATTGTCAGGCATTCGTCGAAGTTAGATCCAAGTATCTTGGAAGTGATGTTATTCCAGAAATAACATTCTTAACCAACACCGATTGGAAGATTCTTAGGAATTACGTCCAGGAAACTGAGTTTCTGAACATGGAAAAATAATACATTCAGTGAACAATTTTATTTTTTTTTTTTTTTTCTTGAATTGGAGCGCACAACAGGCCCGATAGTGGCCTAGGTGTATTTCTTCGGATTTGATGTAGTATACATCCTCCTATCAACCTACCTACCTACCTACCTACCTAACTGCCTTTTAATAGCTCTTTTAATAGCTAAAACAACCTATTGATTAGCAACTAATTTTAAAAACTTTCAAAAATCATCATAAAATCTTTGCAAAAAAAGGGAATGTTTAACATAAATTAATTAGTATGAGAAATATGCAATACTTGAGGTAAAGGTTAAAAGGAATTTCAAAGTGTCTCAAAAAAAAAACAATTAAAATTAGATAGTTTTACCTGGCCAATACTAACATTTGAGACATTTGTTTCTCACTTTCAAATTCTTTCAAAGTTCTGCTGAACATTATTATGAATATTATGATGTTGCCGGCTGTGATGATATTTGAGGAATAGACCATTTACAAATATACCAAAAACAAGTAACATAAGTCTAAATATACATAATTTTTTTTTTCTACAACTTAAATATTATTTCAGTTTTATTTTCTTTTTCTATGTCAGTGTGTTGAATTTTTAATTAAAAATTTTTTTAAAACACATTTTTTTTGTTGGTAACAAACCAACACAAACTCTCAAAAAAAAAATACTTGCAGACATATTAACAAGTTTGGTTTAAAGATAAATTAAGGTAAATAAGTAAATACTACGAGTATGTACATTATTTATATTCATTAGTATGATTTTTTTTCTTCAAACATATTTATTTTATTGTTGTTATTGCTGTGACGTTTGTCATTGTTGTTAAATGTTGACTTAAATGCAAATGTCTTAATTTTAGCCGCTTGTCTACTTTGACATTCAAACATTTTTGTGGTTTAAATTAAAAATAAACCTTAATGAATAAAAAAAAACAAAATTTTTTGCTTATTTTGTTAGACCAAAAATATAAATTTATTCTATGTTGTAGAGATTTAATTTTATTGCTATTTTTCTTGACTTTTTTTAAGATGAGATTAACACAGATATTTTATTAAAATACTTGTAGTTAAACATTTCATGTTTCATTATTTCTGTAATTATGTTTCTTTAAATGTGTCATTTTAGATTAATTTGATGACTAAATTTTCGTAGTTACATTTTAAATTAAAATTTTTAATTCTTAAGTGTCTTAATTTAAGACCTACTTGCTTATTTTTTGGATTACAATTTTGCACTATTGCAAATAATTTTAATAACTACTGTTGACAACCATAATTTGTTTATTTAATAATTTTTGCAGAGTTGCAAAATGGTCTTATTAAGAGTTAAAGAAATTAATTTTAGCAAATTATTTCAAAAAGATGCAATAAATTACTCTCCTGCTCTTCACATAAATAGTCATTATTTTCTTACTTTTCCTTGTCATGCAGAGAGGAATGAATTGGTTATTTTATACGTTCTCAGTCAACTAGCAAGAAGACAATTCTTACTTAAGTGTCTCTAAGTAATGGGGAGTGTAGTCAATTGAGTTATATAGCTAACAGATTCAAAATTTGAATCTTTAACCGATATACAACTAAAATTTAGCAGACAGAACCTTAGCAAAACTGTTTTCTATGTGAGGAAATTAAAATGACTAAAGCTCAATGAAACTTTCAATGATTTTAAAATAAAATCATTAAAAAATCTATGAAAGCAATTTGTCACTAGTAATAAACTTTTTTTCTGCAGTTTTAATTAATTAACAATGTAGATCATTAAACTCCTGCAAGTAGTAGTTTCTTAAGACAATTTAATTGTGGTTTTATAAATTAATTAAATCATTGCTGTGGAAACACATTTATTACTTCATGCACTTCAAATTCAATAAACAACTTTTTATATGCAATTAAACTTTAATTAAAACAACAATTGAATTATACAAGAATTTACAAGATTAAAAAAAATAAATAAATTCGACACACAAATATAAAAATTTGTAAATGCAATGAAAAAACTAACACGATTAATGAATTACAAAACGAAACAAATGAAAAATGTTAAAACCTATAATCCATTCGATACCGGTGATAATAACGGCCCAGAAGGAAATGATGAAATGTCACATACGAAATCGAATAAGAAATCTAAAAAGTTTCAAATGAAAACGAAATCCAATAATAATCATAATAAAACGCGCTTGGAAGAAACGTTCGAGCCAACAGTGCACAATTACCACAATAAAAGCATAAATGCAACGACAACAACAGCAGCAATTGCAAGCTCAACGAAAACGAAAGCTGGTGGTAATAAATTGTTTATGCCAACAACAATAGCAAAGAAATCAAAACAACAATTAAAATCCAGTGCCAGTCGCACGACGTCATCATCGTCATCTACATCACGCACTACAGCCTATAATGGCACTGATGGCGGTGGCAATAATATTAATTATGCCTCGTTAGATCGCATGCGCAACAGCAGTTGCAATTCAACGCAATCGATTAAAGTCAACCATAAACGTAAATGGCCATATTTATGGTGGAAACGTTATGGACGCCATAGAAAACCAAAAAAAAGTTGGCGTTTAAAATACAAACAATCATGTTGGCAACAGCTGCGTAAGACATTGTCGTCATGTTGCAAGCCTACAACAACGTCAGCTTCGTATCAATACAATTCCGACGAAGATGATGATATCGATGCTAAGTTTAATGCTTACATTTTTGAGCTTAAACGTAGAGATGAACGCGAAGCAGAGGAAGAAGAGAAAAAGAGGGCACAATTAGCTCAACACTTAAGTAACAGCAATAGCAGCTGCAACAAAGAAGCGGCAGATGAGAATTGTAAAATACAATTGCCAACAATAAGTATGACATCACAACTAAACGTAAACACTAATCATGCAACTAACTTAATTATAAACACACCACCTACTATTACTTGCCACACACCACCTACTCAAGTAACTCAGACATTAGAATCTTCTACTAGCACAACTTTTAGTACCATAACTACTACACCCACTTCTACTATTGCAACAACTACTACTACTACTAATCTTACTTGCCACAATAGAGTTTCATTTGCCGGCTTGCCACCACGCCACACCCAAACCACCAACAACAACAATGTCTCAACTTTACAACGACGCCACAGTCAACATTTACCTCCTCAGCTTCCCTCTTCGAGCAAATCTCAACGTGCCTGGACTTGGGATGATAGCTTAAGATCTAATTCTGATCGTTTTCTAGAGACTCTGGAAGAAGATTCTGATATTAATGATTTTGTTATTATCGCAAGTGAATCTGTCATCAATACGGCCTCAACTTCAGTAAATAGTTCACGTTGCAGTGTATCACGCAGTAGACCCTCTCTACAACAATTATTGTTACATCAAGATGTAGATAAAGATTGTGATAATATGGAGGCTTTGCATGATTTTGTGATGATACAAGGAGGTAGTGCTATTAGTGTAACATTTGTTAATTCGTTATTTCAAGCACTTCTCAGAAGTAGGGGGCACTGTAAATTATCATTACTTATTTTAAATTCTAAAAGAAAATTTGAGAAAATATTTCTTATTTAGTTTTTAAAAATAGTTTTAATTAAAATTTTAATTAAATTAATGAAATTATTGAATTATAAGAAATTTATGGTTTCAATTAACTTTTTAATTGAATTAATTCTCATGTGTTTGAATACAAAAATATCTCATATTTTTTGTGGAACAAAATTTTTAAATGCATTTTATAATCGAAATAAGATTGGGACCCATTACTTAGCAAATGTAAACTGGCGATCGAAGGTTTATTTAAGACTATCATTGCAAGAAAAAGTTCTTTGAACTTTGAAACTCATTAGAAAAATTAAAGTCACTATGAGAACTTCTACGATTTAGGAAATAAAATTACAATTTAATCTCAGTAAAGCTTTACGTATATTGAACTCGTTATGTCAAACACCAGGAAATTGATGACGTATTGAAATATATTGCAAATCGTGTAACTCTATATCTTAAATCAATGTTTATTAAGACTAAAAACATATTCTTTTAAGTCATTAAAACAATTACGTATGTTTCTGTTATTGCAATATCTATTAAACCATATTGGCTTAAACCGATTTTCACTTGGCAACAATATAATTAAACAACTCAGTCAGGGTTAAAATATCGAATCATTATAGTGCAAAAATAAAATGAAATTAATAATAATAAACAATAGCGAGAGAGCAATCAATAGATAAAATAACAACTGCATGTAAAACCATAATTTATAATTAGACAATGATTAAACAAATATTTTTTATCTCTAATTATAAAACAATAAAACAACATTATAATGAATGCTTGTATATGTTTATAAAGAAAAATAAAAACAATAAGAAATAATAAAAAAACAAAAACACTTGAATCCATATAAACAAATTATAAAAAAGTAATTATATTAAATAAATTTTATTTATATTTTTTATCATTACAGAAGAGGCAAAGGCAGCCGCTGAAGAACTAAGCCGTTCACCCATTATGGGTCAACGTAATAATGATCCCACCTCTAGTCCCATACAGTCACGTGGTTCAGGCTCCAGTGATAATTGGCCCACACAATCTGATGAAGATATAGATCGTTTGGTGGCAATGCATCAAAATCGCAGCAGTTTAAGTTCATTAGGTGTAAGTATTAAATTTTTTTATTTTTTTAAATTATTTAATTAGTTATTTTTATATGAACGTCATTACGAAGATATCTGAAGATAAGATAAAATCACAAGTCTCAAGTGCACATGCAATTTATAATTCATAATTTTCCTTGCACTTCAAATACGAGTTTTTTGTATTAGTTAAAGATGTAGTACGATGAATGTACCGAGAATTGCATAGTAAAAATGGGAGCTTATTATTTATTACTAAACATTAAATGCATTTGAAAAAGCATTATCTTGAAACTAGATATTTTAATGTAACATTTTACTTTGACATTCCTAATAATAATTTCTAATATAACTTTTATAATTTAAATGTCGGTACACCATTTCCAAATGTATTTACCATATAAAATATTTAAAATCATTATTATCGGTATGAAGTTCGAAATAGACAAGTTTTAAATTAATTAATAATCTATATATCTATATATCTATCTGTCCATCTATCGAGCTAGCGAGGCGAGCAGCAGCGCGAGGAGCGAGCGAGCGAGCGAGCGAGCGAGCGAGCGAAGAGCGAGCGAGCGAGCGCGAGCGAGCGAGCGAGCAGCGAGCGAGGAGCGAGCGAGCGAGCGAGCGAGCGAGCGAGCGACGAGCGAGCGAGCGAGCGAGCGAGCGAGCGAGCGAGCGAGCGAGCGAGCGAGCGAGCGAGCGAGCGAGCGAGCGAGCGAGCGAGCGAGCGAGCGAGCGAGCGAGCGAGCGAGCGAGAGAGCGAGCGAGCGAGCGAGCGAGCGAGCGAGCGAGCGAGCGAGCGAGCGAGCGAGCGAGCGAGCGAGGAGCGAGCGAGCGAGCGAGCGAGCGAGCGAGCGAGCGAGCGAGCGAGCGAGCGAGCGAGCGAGCGAGGAGCGAGCGAGCGAGCGAGCGAGCGAGCGAGCGAGCGAGGAGAGCGAGCGAGCGAGCGAGCGAGCGAGCGAGCGAGCGAGCGAGCGAGCGAGCGAGCGAGGAGAGCGAGCGAGCGAGCGAGCGAGCGAGCAGCAGCAGCGAGCGAGCGAGCGAGAGATCAGCGAGCGAGCGAGCGAGCACGACGAGCGACGAGCGAGCGACACAGCGAGCGAGGAGCGAGCGAGCGAGCGAGCGAGAGCGAGCGAGCGAGCGACGGAGCGACGAGCGTCGAGGGGGACGAAGCGCGAGCGAGCACGACGAGCGAGCGAGCGAGCTGAGCGAGCTAGCGAGCGAGCGAACGAGCAGCTGAGCGAGCGAGCGGATGCGAGCGAGCGAGCGAAGCTAGTCGAGGCGAGCAGCGAGCGAGCGAGGAGCGACACGAGCTAAGCTATCGGAGGAGCGAGCGGACGACAGAGAGCGAGCGAGCGGAGGCGACAGGAGCGAGCGAGCGAAGCGAGCGACGACGAGCTATCGATCGATCTATCTATCGCTATCTATCTATCTACATAGCGCTCTAGCTATATCTAGCTATCTATCTATCTATCTATCTATCTATCTATCTATCTATCTTATCTATCTATCTATCTATCTATCTATCTATCTATCTATCTATCTATCTATCTATCTATCTATCTATCTATCTATTCTATCTATCTATCTATCTAGTTTGTAATCGATAAACTCTACAACTTCGGCACCTGATATATTCAAATATATGTTTCAGGGATCGGGAGAAGTTTTCCTGTACAGTTTTAAATTTTTCATACGTCTATGTTTGAATTTTCGGTCAATTACACCTAAACCGCTAAACCGATTATTTTAAAATTTAAGGGCTATATTACCTTTCTCAATTATGTAATGTTAGGACCCTATATAAGCTGTTATAGTGGTAATATAATATTCGGAATACCTTTTTTCTTTTTTTCTTGTTTTCTTTTAACTTTTAGTTGGGTTTTCTTTCGGACGCCAAACTTTATAAGGTAGTTAGTTCAGCAAACAAAATTATCGACAATTTTGACTCAGACCTCGGTATACTAAAACCATTTCCTCAAATATCTGCATATTACTATAGAAATGAAACCCCTAGCACCTTCCTGCAAATGATTCATGCTCACATTAAATCTAGTTTACAAGTCTATTTTAAAAGCAAAATAAATCTTTAAAAACAGAAAACGAGATAAGCTTTATTTTATTTATATATTTATTCTTAATGCATTATTATTCCAATTTAAAATTCAAATGAAAATGAACAGATGCAAAAACGGCAAACAAACTAACCATTGACTTGTAGTCTAAATAAATTTTTAGCGCTTAAATGAACTTTCGTCAAATAACAACATTATATACTAATTATTTGAACTTCTTTATTGTTTTTTACAGTTACGTTCCGATTCAATGGCTAGTGTTTATTCTGGCGCTGGCGAGGGTCGTTATGGTACAGTAGTGGTCAAGGGTCAAGTGGAATTTGGTATGCAGTACAATTATAAATTGGGAGCATTGGAAATACATGTTGTGAGATGTAAAGATTTGGCAGCTGTTGATTCAAAACGCAATCGTAGTGATCCCTATGTTAAAGTAAGTTTTTTAATTTTTATATGAAAAAGGTTCAGTTTCTCAGAAAGTGGTTAACTTAAATCTTTTTGGTTTAAATTTTTGTACATTTCAACTTGTGAAAGTTTCACTTATCAAAAACCTTACTTTCATTGATAAATTATTTACTTATTTCTTCAACAATGTTTATGTTTTATTTTAAACCAGGTTTATTTATTACCCGATAAATCTAAGGCCGGCAAACGTAAAACAAAAGTTAAAAAACACACTCTCAATCCCATATTCGATGAGGTTTTACGTTTTCATATGCCCATCTCCAGTTTAGAGTCTCGCACACTCTGGCTAACCGTATGGCATTCGGATATGTTTGGTCGCAATGATTTCTTAGGAGAAGTTAGTGTCAATCTACAGGGTAGAGTATTCGATAATCCACAATCACAATGGTATTTATTACAAGAAAGGGTAAGTTTGTTAAAATAAAGAACCCCATAACAGAAACAAGAAAATTAAATTTATCTTTTCCAAACAGAGTGAACCTTTCGATGAAGTGGCCACTTATAGAGGCGATATAGTGGTGGGCTTAAAATATGTTACACCCGAGGGTAGTAAATCTAAATTCATGCGTGCCGCCTCTTTAGCTACAGGTGGTGGTTTGAGAAAGTTTGGCAGTATTAAATCGGTGGCTAGTTCAAAAACCGATCGTTCCGCTAAAGGTGGTCAATTGCATGTCTTGGTTAAGGAGGCCAAACATTTAACGCCCATTAAGCCTAATGGCTCATGTGATGCTTTTTGCAAGAGGTAAACTAATGATTTATAAATTCTATTATAAATTTAATTTAAAATTATTTTTAAATTCCCTTTATTTACAGTTATTTATTACCCGATCGTACACGCAGTTCAAAACAAAAGACACCCATTGTTAAACGTTCTACAAATCCCAGCTGGAATTATACTTTTATTTATGAAGATGTCTCACTGGAAGATTTATCTGAACGTGCTTTAGAATTAACGGTCTGGGATCATGATCGTTTGGCTAGCAATGAATTTTTGGGTGGTGTTCGTTTTTCATTGGGAACATGTAAGTTGAATGATAAGCTTTTAAACTTAAGACAAGTAGAAATAATTGGTTTTCTTTTTTTTAAATCTACAGGTAAAAGTTACGGTCGTCAAGTTGATTGGATGGATGCCTCCGGTAAGGAACTATCGTTATGGCAAAATATGCTCGATCGTCCTAATTTCTGGGTAGAGGGCAGTGTTGTTTTAAGATCAACTTTGGATGGCATCAGAGCGATACCATAAAATTGTAATTATTAAATAAATTAACTGTAGTTTAAGTTGTTTGTTTAAGTTTTTTTATTAATTCTTTATTTTAAATCTATAAATTACATTATTTAAACCCCCCATATATTATTTGATGCTGTAAACAGCATGTTTATAAAACAATATTTATTCGTCTTATTAAATCAGTAGCAAAAACTGAACCCTTAAACGAAAACTCATCAAATTATGATTTTTAAAACAAAAAAGTATTCAATATATTCTTACAAAACGAAAAAAGTATAAAACCAAAATATTTTTATTTAAAAACAAAATTACATGACAATTCTTTGAAAAGCATTATTAGCATTAAACTTTATGAAATGGAAAAGAAGAGAAAAAAATAATATTTCTAAAAACAATACAAACTGAAAACATGTTAATTATAATAAAATTATAATAATTAAACAAATAATTATATATAAATATAAATTAATAATTAAATATATATATATATTATTCAACCTTGTATGTATAGCTAAATATATTTAAAAGAAACACATATTTTATAAGTTTAACCTTAAGACGATCTAAATGAAAATAATTTATAATAAAAAACTAAACTTTTTATATATAAAAAACAAAAACAACTCAATTATTTTCTAATTTTCTAGTTTCACTATTTTTCCAAAATCTAAAAAAAACATATCACTATATCTTATCATCAAATACTAAACTTAACTCTAAACTATTAAAAATTAAACCTAAACTTTCTAAAAAGCCTTATTCGAGAAAAGGTATTTTGGCGTAGAAATAATAAAGTGACAAAAAATATAACACAAAATACGGTTTTCTGTGTTAAAACTTTATAAACAATTTTTATATGACAAACCAATAATAATAATTATAAATAATTAATATACATAATAATAAAAAAAGCATATATTTAACTAAAAAAATTGCAATATTGCATATTAATGCGTTCGAAATTTTGAAAGAAAACAGAAAAAACAAATAAAACCTAATTAAACTAATTAACCTTAAGGTTACATTTACAAAAAAAAAAAATAATAATAAAAAACTAAATTTAATAAATATCCATAAATACTTTAGTATAAATAAAAAATAAAATCTATTATATAACATTTTTATTTTTCTTTTTATTTATTCTTCTTTTTTGGTTATTTTTGGTTGTTTCAGTAACAAGGATGGCGAATTATTTTTTAAAATATTATATGGAAATCCAAGAAAAAAACATACTGGGCCCAAATTATGGCATAAAATATCGATCGAAATCTCCATTTAGATTCCATTGAGATTTCGATCGATATCGTATGCCGTAATTTGTGCCCTCGCCTCTTCTGAATAATAAACTCTCCCAGGAAGTTTGTTCCCTTTCCTATACCTAAAGCATGCATAAGGGAACAAACTCTCGGGAATTATTCATAATTGGCCTGATAGTAATTTTCACATATATTTTGAAAATAAATTTTCCATTCGAGTTTCTAAGCTTATTAGTAAGTTTTATGGTTTTTTATTTTTCTAATCTTTACGTTTTGATTTTTTTAGAAGCGTTCAGTAAGCATACGATGTCCATTTTATAAAGACATTTTTATACCCATCAAAAAAATATGAAGGGTACGTGGAAATATTCTACTCATTAAAGTATATATTTTATGATTCCCAAATATTGTTACCATATAATATTGGCATAAAATCGGCAAAATATTTTTGAAATCGTAAAAAATCGGGAATGTTAAAACTTGGTATTGTATAATTTTCAAATTAGGTTACTTTTTCAATTATTTATACGCAACAATATTCATTAGGAACGAACCCATTTGTTGTCAATTGGGAAAACCCATCATATTATAGGAAAATACGTTCTTCAGTCGGATCAAACTTCCCGTAGAAGTACATATTACTAGCCACTTTCGATGCAAAAAGTTTTAAAATCCTCAAGCAATTTTTAAGATGATTTGATGAAATTTGTCACATAAACCCTTTTTAATCATAAGAACGAAGTCTATTATGTTTGAAATCAGTCAGAATAGAATTTTGTTAACTATTCTAGTATATCTTCAGATATGTGTTAGTACAACTATTTTGTATTAACCTTAGTAATACGAACGATTTTCGTAATGATCGTAAGAGTTTTCTCGGATACATGTACCAAATAAATATTAACTGGTCCAGTTTAATTGATGTTAATTTGACTAAATATTATGTCCACATTGGCGTATTTAATATTTTATAATAATTTTTATAAAATTGCCTCTATAGTTTTAATTTCCCTCTTCGTAAAATCGACATTTAGCAGGCATACATTGGAAAATCGTCCATATTTTACACTACCACTTCTGTAACTGATAATAAGTTTATTGTGAAAAAATCATTCAAAAATTATGTTATTAAGAAAAAAACTTTTTCACTCTTTAAAATTCTGTAGATCACCCTGATTTTAGTATAAAACTAAAAAATCATTAAATTCTGGTAATAAATGACAAAAGGATCGATCCATATACTATATCCCTTTAAAGCCTCTTTACACAATTCTGTTTTGATGGTGGGAATATAATATTCGTTTTCTAGTTTATTTAGCTTTTCCTGAGTTTATTTACATCGATCCTCGTGAGATCTAAGTAGAAATATTTTATCAAATTTTAGACTGTAAGACATATTCTCAATAAAATTTTACACATTTTTTCGTTAAAAATGTATTTGGTGCAATAGAAGAATAGAAGGATATGTTTGTTATAAAAATGTTTCTTAGTTATTAGTACTACTTGACTACGAGCAAGTGCGCTGTATTCCTACGATATATTAAGTACCTTTTTTATACTATAAACTTTTGCTCAGTAGTCCATAAGCTAGTCTATAAATTAGCTAATAGACTTATCAATAGACAAATGTATAGAAAAGTCAATAAATTATTAAATAGACTTGTTAGTAGATTAGTCAATAGACTAGACAATAAACTAGTCAACAGTCATTAGACTAGTTAATAGACCAGTAAGTAGACTAATCCATAGAATAGGCAGTGGACTAGTCAATAGAGTAGTCCACAGGTTAGTCTATATATCTGTCAATATATGAAAAGAAGTCCGAAAAGTAATCCAGTACTTTACTTAACCATCCAAAAGTACCCTTTTTGAAAAAAAAAATATTACTATTTCAAAACTTTATTCCGTTATTCACTATTTCTTTATTAGAATTTTAACTCATTATTTTAACACGGTGATGACATTGGAGACAAGCTCGCTTGCAAATAACTAGTGAAATAAGTACTTACAAATAGAGAGTTAAAAAGTTGTTTCATTTTTCGGTTGGTTAGTTCGCCACTGCTTAGTTATTTTATTTTCTTTCTGTCGCACGGCAAAACATTAAATAAAGTACTTATGTATCTGATTATATGTAAATCATTATAAGAGAACTTAAAAGTAATGCAGGCAGTATGTAGTTGTCATTAAAAAGTAAGTGAATTTAAATAATTATGTTTGCAAAAAATTCAAATATTAAATAAACGGATTTAAACAATCATTCCGTCATATCGAAATAGAACTATCTAAGTTAATCAAATATTAGCGTATAGGGTTTTTGAAAAAGGAAAAGTCAGTAGAATAAAATAAAACATGGTCTGTAATTGCTTACACCTCAAAACCCTCATGTATGGAATAATATTTGAGAGGTTTAATTATACCGTACACCACTATAGTGGGGAGAGTATAATGTGTTTGTGCTGATGTTTGTAACACACAAAAAGATTGGTCCAACATCCACCTTAAAGTATAACAATCGCTTTCTGAGTCGATTTAACTGTATCTGCCTTAAAGTATACCAATCGCTTTCTGAGTCGATTTTGCTGTATCCGTCTGTCTGTCCGTTTGTGTGTCCATGTAAACCTTGGGCGCAAGCTATAGATCGCAATTTTTAAGATAATTTGATGAGATATAAGGATAGGCCCCCCTATTAACCCCCTGCCCCCATATAACCGTTCTTTAAGAAAATCTCTTTTTTTTTTTTTGACAACAAATTGTTAAAATATTTCTGAATTATGGAAATCATGACATTAAATGATGTATTATTAAAAAAATAATCAACATGTTTAAAATAATTAGTGGTGTAGGATATTATGTGGTAGGCAATGCCCAACTATAAATTCTTCCTTTTTTTAAATGAATTTTCTGTGTCAGGATTATAAAACTGACTTATGACTTTAATGTCAAAAAGTACTTAGGTTAGGTTGACATCTGGATATATGTATATTACATCAACTCCTTTTCATGGAAGTTGTTTGTAGTTAAAAACAAAAACCTTATATAGTATTCCGGCATGTTCAGAAACTCAGTTTCCTGGACGTAATTCATTCAATGTTCGTGTATATTTATATCTAATTTTGACGATTCGAACATACAAATTCGAAAATTACGGAGTTACGGACTAAACCCCATGCATTTATTTATGAAAATGTTCCATTGAAAGATTAAAGCGAATGGCTTTAAGAACACTCTGGGACCAAGAACGTTTGGCAGAACAATTGTAGTGATTCTTTTTTTACTTTGTATTCCATGGGATACGTTTTCAATAGTTAGCTTAAAATAAAAAAAATTAATTTTTTTCTTCCTATTTGTGTTAATTTGTTGCCATTATTTTAAGTTATTTCTATGTTTATTTAATTTAAGTAATTGCAATTAATTCTATGCCCCAAAAGTAATCCTAAAGCAATCTTGCAACTAAAATTAAAATAACTTTACATGTTTCCTAAAATCTTTGATTCGAGTTGATTTCTTAAGTAAATATATTTAGTATATATATTATTTACTTCTCTTTTCTGTTTTACTAAATTTAATAAAACGTCAAAACAAAAGGTTGCATGCTGTCAAAGTGTTACACACGCAAGGAATGTATGCAACCAACAAGTTCCATGTCTGTGGCAAAATAAAAAAATAATAATTAATTAAATTAAAATGTTTACAAAACGAATCTTATGAATGCTTTTAATGTTTAAGAGATAATATTATAAATTATTAATAATATATAAAAAAAAAATTAAATTAAATTACCATTAGAATAAATAATACTTGCTGAATCACTTGTTGCCTAAATACCGCTTGACTTTTATACTTGACATTTTTCTAAAAAAAAAAATAATAATAAATTAAACAGACAGCATAAAATGAACATAAATTCTTTATTTTAAATCCGATAAATATCAGAAATAAATTCAAAAATTTTTCCTCATTTTTACAATACATAAACATGAAAATTGCCAAAATGGTATTTAGAAGAAACAAACAAACTTTTTGAAATTAACCATAATAAAAAATAATTTCGTGAAATATTAAAAAAGTAGTCAAATGATTAGAAATTAGTTTTATTTTAAGAAACAAATCTTAAAAAAACAAGTAGTGAGTTAGATGAGAAGACATAAAAAATAATTAAAGTTTTTCAAAATGGAAAAAAATTATAAAAAAATAAAAATTTTATACTTAGTAGTAAATATATACAAACCAAATAAAAAGTTAAATAAATTAATAAAATATTAAAGATATTCACAGTTTAATTACAATTTAAATGAACTCAAATATTAATGAAAATATTTATATTGGTAAAAATAAATTACACTGTGAATACATCAACATAACAATACAATATCATTAATATATGATTTGTATTGTTAAATAAATTATATATAGAAATTTTATAATCCTCTAAAAAGTTCAATATCTTTAATCTTTGATCTCCTTTAACTTAAAAATTCAAAAAAAAAAAAAAAATTAATTACAAAAAATCCTATGATGATAAAACTTTACTTACTCTAAGGTTTTCTTAAAACACGTATGGTGCTACATATTTACTTACAAACTTATAAATATTTAATATTAAAATCTAAATTACATTACATAAATACTTACATACATGTGTATGTATGTATATCCTTACAACTTTACTAAGTATACAAACATACAACAATACTATCTTTCATAAATACCTATTGCATCCTGATGGTGGACGTTCGTTTTATAATGGGTTTATCTTTAAAAAAAAACTAAAAAACTGTATAACGATCATCTAAAGATCTACTTAAATAATAAATTTTTATATTTGCTTAAGAAAAATGTAAAAGAATGTAGTAAATACTCAATAACTAAAGTCAAGACCCACCGACGTTCATTCAAAATTTCTTATCTTAAACTTTGTATAAAAACCACCAACATATAAAAACCTTTTATACTAAAATAAATTTAAAAATATATATATATTTAAGATAATTAATTTATAAAAAAAAATATTATAAACAAAATTGAGTTGATAAATAGTTCATGTTGCGTTATTTGTTACAAAAATTAAAAAAAGTAAAATAATTGAATTATATCTCTATATATCAAATTGAAATGAATTGTATTGTATACCAAAATAAAACAAATAAAACTAGAAAATTTTGAAAAAAAGAACAAGTAGAATATAAGTACTATTTTATAATAGAATCTGATCCGATTTATAATTTGAACTGTCCGAAATGCTATCACTAACTGTAAGAAAATTTATGATTTATATGTATGTATATTGTTTCAAATAGCGATTTATATTGAAATATTGCTGCTTAATCCATGATAGAGTTTTTAAATTATAGATTAGTGTTATAATTTATATATTTTCTCTTAACTTCCCCATATTTTTATATGAATAAAGTACGAAATAGTATGGACTACTCAATATTATTCTCCAGTTTACAAAGATGTTGCCGAGTTTAATCTTCGGGAAAGTAGGGCCCTCTTCTATGACGCAATATCATGGCCCCTTTCAAGTCCACTGGTCGAGATGGTACTTTCCCGAAAATGTTACTAAGTGCTGAAAAGGATTAACAAAATATTTACAACTGTGCCACGTCTAGGTTTTATCCAAATCTAACATATAGATTTCTGATATGGTGGATTGCTACTAAAGTTAATTTTATAGTAAATCAATTTTACAAAATTGAGAGATAAGCATACATTGACATACATTGAATGCTATAATGCATCTTGTTCCTAGAGACCTTCATAAATAGCAATATCTGCCTGTATAGCAGGGAGGGTTCATCACTAATATTAGAGATCAAGAATTCCAGAGGTGAGTGGTGTAGGTGTGAATGGGTATAACACCAGGATCCATACAGATGTTTTAAAATGAAAGGCGATTTTAATCCGGTGTCCTCTACGGAAAACTTGAAATAAAAATTTCTAATTTTTGTCGATAGTCAGGCAGTGTTCCTTTCATTAAATTCTTATACTACTATATCGCTATTGGTCAAGCCATGTATGAATGATGTGGCAAGGCTTAGTCGTTTTGACTTTTTACAACTAGTAAACTACCACGATAACTAACCAACATGGGACATATACGATTAATATTGAATTGTTAAAAAAAAGTTAAATTGAATTTAATTATACCCTACATCAATGTAGAGGGGAAGGTATATTGGGTTTGTGTTTAATGTATACTAATCGGCTCAGAATCATTTTCTGCTATATTTGTCCGTCTGTCCGTCCATGTAAACCTTTTAATCAAACTACAGGTCGCAATTTTGGAGATTATTCAATGAAATTTGGTATCTTCTATTGTCCCAGAAAGGAAGCCTATTGAAAATGGTTAAGATCGTTCCATCTAGCCCCCACACAACAGAACCTCCTGAATAGAGCTTTTGAGCTCATAATTATGTTTACTATATCTCGACAAAAAGCTGCACAACTAAGTTTTATACTTGTCTTGATATCCCTGTCGAAATGTGTAGTAATAGGTCCTCACTTGACCCTAGCCCTCATATTAACACTCTTCAGAAAATGTGTTAAATGTGTAGTAATAGGTCCTCACTTGACCCTAGCCCTCATATTAACACTCTTCAGAAAATGTGTTAAATGTCGCTTACAAAGGCTAATGTGGGGCTGAAATTCGGGATAAATACATTTTAAGTAAACGTATATCCATCCACCAAATCAAATGAGGCGGTCCACACTTTCATCCAGCCGCCTTATAAAGCCTCTTTCTGAAAATTAGTTTTTCATCAATAAATAGCTTAAATACATATGTATATCGGAGGCAAGGTACAATTTAACTTAAATGCTTTATCATGAAAAACAAACCACATTTCATTCTCTTAACAGGTGTAAGGTATTATATGTTCGGCCACGGCCGACTATAATTCCTTACTTGTTTTAAATTGAATTTAGGAGAAAGCACATTACAAGATTTATTGGGTCTTGGGTAAAATATGACCCAACCTTCCTAAAATTTTATAGAGAAATATATAAGTACAATTATGATTGGCATTTGTAGCGAGTACCATCAATATCAATGGATTGTTTCCTTGGTCCAAAAAAGGCATGGGTGGGTTTTGAACATTCGCAAACAATAGCACAACTTAATGTCAAACTATCCAAGGTTCTGAATTTCTGTTTCTAAAGTCAACATTTTTTAGATCGTAAAACTAGAGGTCTCTAATTTGAAAATACATTTGTATTGTGTGGTTAGAAAGGAGTAGAATTTCGTAACGATCGTCCCAAAAGTAATCATCTGATTCGATATAAAAATTAGATTGGATATAATTTATTGTCTGTTTTAAATTTACAAATCTTTCATATTGTTAGTTCTCTTAATTTTTTTAGACTTTATATAAATCTTTATATTTCTATTGGCCCTCTGCATGTCAAATTCTTAAAAATATACTGGTAGCTATAACATTATAATTTATTTATGCTGTTAATTTATTAAACAACTTTAACATTTCTCACTAAAAAAAGGTTGTATTTTAAAAAAATCTATTAATTTACAAAAAGTTGTTTTCCTTAGACGTCAAATTATAAAAAAGATCAGAGAAAAAATTACAAAAAAAAAGTTTCTTTAAATCTGTCAATGCAAATTGTACCACCACTATTTACTGTAATACGATGATAAACTAACGATTTCAAAATATTTCATACAATCATAATTGTGCAAAATAATATTAAACAAAACTAATCTACAAACTCTAAACCTAAACTATAAAAATAATATTCTCCAAAAAACAGAATTCTATAAAATAAATTAAACTAAAAGACATTATCTATGAATTAAAAAAACAATACATTTAAATGTAACCAAGTATTTATATTGAAACAAACAAATAATTAAACAGAAAGTTGTATTACATGCAAAATTATTTACAATATTTATCTTTAGGAACATTTAAGTCAAAATGCAAAAAAAAAAAACAAATAAAAATTCTTATTGATTACTTTCAAAAACTGAAATTTTACTGAGTTTTATTGCTGCCTTAAAGGCCAGGGCAAGAACCACAATTTCCCAAAGGAGTTTTAGCGTCGTCTGTTGCATTTTTACCAAATGGCTCAACTTTGTTAACACTAAAAAAGTAATTTCCCCGTAATGAGAATGGCACGGCCAGGCCCATGGCATATGAATTGCCATTACAAAAACCAGCTTCCTTTTTCTTCAAAGAATTACAGCGTGTTCCCATAAAATTATATTCATTGTGGGGATAAACACTTTCGGCATAATACAACCAGGAGCGAGAATGTGAACAACCCAGTGAAAAGCAACCCGGTTTAATGGGTGCTAATCCCTCGGGATAAAAATCAGCATCCCCTATTGGCTCCTTTTTACCAAGAGCCCCAGGATTTGAGTGTACAATATCAATAAATGCTGCATCACCACGTTGTATACCATAAAGAACTTCTCCCTCATTGAAACATGGATTGGCCGGATCAAGTCCAGTAATGTGGGGTATGGTCTGATTGGTAAATTGGGTAAAATATCGTCCAGCATAACCAACTATATGAGCACCTAAACTGTGACCAATTAAATGTATATTTTCTACTGAATATTTATCCACTAATTTGGTTAGACCCATAGCCACATATTCTCCTATAGCTTCAGTATTTAGGGCGGACCATGAATATAAAGTATCAATATAGTTGGCACTATCCAAAAACTAAAATTGATTCAATAAAAAAGCAGAAACTGAAAATTAACTTAAACCTACCAGAAAATTATGTTCATCTCTACAATGAAATGCTTTGCGCAATGTTTGAGCACTTTCACCCGCAGAACTTTTCCAACCTCTTACAAACAATATCAGTTTCTTAGACATATTAAAATTTGGACTTTCCAAAATTTGATCAGCTTCTAAAAGCGGAAAGCTTTCATTTTGACATGGCGTTAGTAATTGAAATGATATTTTTGTAATATCTGGAATAATACGTGGTCGAACTTCTCCGTAGGTTAAATAAATTGAACCTGTAAATAAATAATTGAACAATCACTGAAAACTTATTTTAAAAAATTATAAATCTTACAAATTTGATTGATCGTCTGTCCTATTAGAACTTCAGGTAAAGCGAATAAAGCTTGCATAGGTAAACGTAATAATTGATCCATTTTTGGAGTCCACTGTGGTAGGGATGGCACCAGTCCATTTATGATATTGAATATATCCAACTGGTTTGTGTTATTGGACACATCGTTGGCTAAAGTGTTTTTGTATATAAAGCAACTAGAAAGCAATAAATTCACTAATATTTTCATTGTTAATATTTTTTTACTTAATACTGTTTTAATTTATTTATTCTTGATTCAGGTCTTTATATAGGTATTTTATATTAACAGTTTCAATGTTGGAAATAATTTATGCATTATTTATTAATATTTTACAGTTAAAATGCGACTGACAATGGTATTATCAACCATAACATTATAGAAAAGGTTAATATTTATGAATTAGTAATAAACAACAACTTCTAATATCACTAACTTATTCCTTATTAGACATACTCTCTAGACATTTAGGTATAAAGCCTATTCAAAGAATTAATTAATGTTATTGATATCGACCACTCATTACCAAGTAATGTATGATATAACTACATTACTCATTACCAAAATTTTAAAATATATTATTGGGAAGGCATTTCAAATTTAAATTTACTTTAAGTAAATATAGTTTGGAAACATGTTAAACGTGAAAAAGTTCCTCGCGTCGGGAGAAAAAGATTTGAACTAATGAAGAATAGTATTTTCTTGGGCCTTTAATAGGTCAATTGTGGTCCGAGCTGAACTAAATTTATAAAAGTAATTTATTCCTTAAAACTATTTTTGCTGAATTTTATCATATTTTTTATACCCACCATCAAAAAAGATGGGATTATATTGATTTTGTCATTCCGTGTATAACATATCGAAATATTGTTCACAGACCCCATAAAATATATATATTCTGGGACCTCGTAAGATTATATGACGATCTAGCTATGTCCGTCCGTCTGTCTGTTGTTGGCACGAAAGCGTCCACAAAAAAAAAGAGATATTGAGATAAAATTTTCCCAAAATATTTCTTATTGATCAGAAATGTTTGGTATTGAAAATGGGCAAAATCGGTCAACGATTTCACATAGCACCCATACAAATGTACCCACCGGAATATTGTGTATAAAGCTTCAAACATTCGCAAAATTGTTGTTTATGAAGCAAAAGCCACAAAATTTCGCATAAATCAGTTTTTTGACTTCCGAAATAAAATTCTGAATTTTGGAGGTCATAGGACCATAATTGGCTCTACCCCTCATATAAGGTACCTTTTAGAAAATCACTATAATGCTATATCGATGAAATTATATATATTTCTCTACCAAATTGTATGTGGATCGGTTCATAATTGGACCTACCCCCCATATAAGGACCCCTTTAGAAAATGACTTTAACGCTTATTATTGGCGTAAAAATACGAGTACAGCGAAATTTGACATAAGTAAATATCTTAGGAGCCAAAACATTTCCACCAAATTTTATGTGAATCGGTCCATAATTGACCCCATATAAGGTCCCCTTCAGAAAAAGTCTTTAACGGTCATAATTGGCGTAAAAATGCGATTATAGCAAAGAAATTTGACATAAGTATCTTAGGACAGAAAACCTTTCCACCAAATTTTATGTGCATCGGTCCATAATTGACCCTACCCTCCATATAAGGTCCCCACCATAAAAATAACTTTAACGCTCATTACTGGCTTAAAAATACGTGTATAGCGATGAAATTTATATATTATTATAACGACCCAAAATCTCTCTACCAAATTTTATGTGGATCGGTATATAATTGATCCTACCCCCCATTTAAGGTCCCCTTCAGAAAATTACTTTAAGGCTTAAAAATACGAGTATTGCAATGTAATTCGACTCAAGTAAGTTCCTTGTGAGCCGAAATCTTTTAACCAAATTTTATATGGATCGGGCCTTAATTGGACGCCCCCCCCCCCCCTATAAGGTCCCCATCAGATTACTTGAACGCTCATTACTGACCTAAAAAATGAGTAAAGCGATGAAATTCGATATAAACATGACTTGTATGAACCAAGATCGTTCTACAAAAGTTTACGAGGATCGGTCTATAATTGACCCTAGCCCCATATAAGGCCCGTTCAGAAAATAATTTTAAAAATCAGTACTGGCTTAAAAGCACTAGTAGATCTATGAAATTCGACATAAACTAGTTTTGTATGATCTAACATCTCTCTACAAAATTTTGTGGGGATCGGTCCATAATTGACCCTACCCCCCATTTAAGGTCCCCATCAGAAAATTACTTTAACGCTCAGTACCGACAGAAAAATACGAATAGTACAATGCAATTCGACATAAACTAATTTTAAGCTAAAATCTCTCTACCATATTTTATGAGGATCGGTCCATAATTAACCATAAGAAAGAGCACTGTCAATAGTTAAACCCTCATTAATGGACTTCTTTCAAATATTACCCTGATGTTCTCATTAATATCGACATATAATAATAATATATTCAAGATATCAAAGTTTAATTATATGGCAGTGATTTGATGGTGGGTATATAGGTGGGCATAGCAGAATGTAACACCTTTACTTGTTTAACTTTTAAAGGAAGTGGAGTTAATTATATAGGCCAACCTATGTAAAGAAGTCGAAACTGTGTAACCATGGTGCACATTTCTAAAGAATTGTACTGTGCATCAGATTAGATTGAGATATCGTGTCGTAATAACTGAAAAAACGCCATTTGGCCCACATTTGAGGCCTTATAACAGAGGGAAGACACGTTCATCTATAAAATCTGTTATGTCACCTGAAAGTGTAATTTTTCGACAGATTCATCCCTTAGAAAAGTATACTCTGAATTGTGTGTTTAAACATTTGTTAGCCTGTGGACCGATCTTCAAAAAATTTAGTAGAGAAACAAACCTTATCTGTAAATAACAATTGTGGAAAATTTCATTATCTCCCTTCGTTTAGACAGGAGTTATCAACAGACAGCCAAACGACGTGGCTCTAATGTTTTAGAATCATATAAGGACTCAAAACATAAGTACATACATATGTATTCCTATGTGGGTCTACGACCAATATTTTGATGTGTTTACAAAAAAAATAACAGAATAATGGTGGGTATAAAAACGGAATAAGTTCGTTATTTATGTAACCTGATCCGATAATTTATTACAGTGTGGATATTAACCCTGATGAAGAGATAGAGACGATTCCTTCCAATATGGCGATTAAGTTAAATTTTTCTTTTTTTTTTTTGTTGTAACACTCAGTTTAAAAAATTTAATTTTGAGTAAATATATATATATATATATATGCAATATAAACATATAAAACCTACCGATTTTTACAATTGAATCCAAATGAAATAACAAATAATATATATTTTTTTAATAATATTTTTAATAATGTTTATTAATTATATCCGTTACATAGTTTTCTTTTTATTATTGCTATAATTATTTAATATATTTTTTAATTTTATATTATTTATTACTTAATAAATCATAAACAAAAATTAACATTTTTATGCATGTCTTCATTTAAATTTTGTATAATTATGTATAATATTTTTAGTTCTTTCTTTCATACTTTAAATAATATAAAATATTTACATGTAAATAGTTGAGGATAAAAATAATAAAAATAAAAAATACCAAAATAATACAAATAATAATGATAATTAAAAAAAAAAATTATTTAAATCCTAAAATATAGAACAGCAGACTCTTCACAAAATTTTATATTCTTTACTATTTATAGATTTAAACAAAAATTATTAAATTAATTATTTAAGTTTTTAATAATATTAAATGCTATAGAATTAATTAAATAACAAAATTAAGTATAAAGGATAATTTTAATTTATATTGATATACACAAAAATATAGATAATTAATTAATATAAGGGTTAATTTTATTTAAATAATTATAAAAAATTAATAAGAATTATATGTATGGTTTATTAATAGGAATAATATTTAATAAAATAATAAGTTTTAATAAATCGTTAAATACAATTAAATTGTTTATTTTAGAGTTTTTTTAAGTTTTTCTTTTTTAATATTAGTTTATGTTTATTTAAATTGAATTAATTTTTATAAATGTGTTGGTTGTTTTTACTTAAATGATGTTTAATAATTTTTTATATATATTTTTTATGCTTTATTTTTTTTTGCCAAGACTAAGACTAGTTTTAATTATTTTATTTTAAATTTTAAAAGTGTTATTTATCAAAACAAACAGAACTTTTTTTTATTAATGTCTCCTAAAGAATTTAATTTTCATTTGCATAAGGAACCTTTTGAAAAAATTTCTTTTATAAATAAAACTAATTTGAGTGGACCTGAGCATACAAAAAACATATAAAACTCATACATTTGCTTTTAAATAACAATTTACTTACAAAAAAAATTATTTATAAAATTTTAACATTTATATTTTAGTTTGCAAATACTTTGCAAATGTAAAAAAATTACAAAAGCAATCATTATTTTTATATTTCCATATACATACATATTCAATAAGTCTACTTATTTGAAAAAAATATTATTAACAGCTTGCAAAGCTCTAATACTCAGTTTATATTTAGGGTATTCATTTAAACTAGCATTATAATAAGTTTTAAACAATAATGAGTTTGACTACACTTAACTACTAGTGAAAACTAGATGAAGGCGTGGTGATGTGTTTATTTCGTATAAATATATAAAATTGTATTAGTTCCCAATCTATAGCACAAGTTGTAAATTGCATGAAACTGTTTATAGCTGATTATATCTGTTGTATATTTAGACGATTTACAATTTACTCCATGAATTGTGAAATGATCTAATATATTTGAAAATGCTTTGGATCAAGTAGGAAAATTGTTTGCCTTAAAAGAATCTTAATTGAATGAATAAAGTTTTCTTGCAAATTTAAATACTTTGTAAAATTTAGATTATAGCAAAATTTATTTATAAGAAAAGATTACACAGGCCAACAGAATTTGAAAAAAGTCGAAACGCAGAGAACCAAGTAGACTTTTCTAATCCGTCATCAAAATTTCTCTATAAAAATCCAGTTTTCAAGATATTGTGTTATAAAATTTGAAGTTTTTGACATATTTCAGACGTTATAACACAGCGATGACATCTTTATTTGTAAATTTATCAAAAAGGACCCAATCTTTCGCCTTTCAAATAAAGGTTTAATTTTGGTCTTATCTTCTTTCTTCTTCGAGATATCTTCAAGTAAAGCTTGAAACAACAATGAATTTAAAAAATTCAGATTTCCAATTCAACGGATGATATCTCAATAAATACAAAAAAAAAATTTATGCAATCCAAAAAGCATTTTTATAAGTAAAATTGTGACAAATTTCAATATATTAGTTTGTAGTACAATTAAGGCGAAATGTAGTAAAAATTCAGTTTTAACCATTTATGTCCGTTTTAACATTTAGTTTAAGATATGTATATATCTCGATAATTAAAGAAGATATAACAGAAGTTAAAGATCTGTTATTTACACTCGAGAGATTGAACTTTCAGATGACCTTTATAAATAAAGGTGTTATCGCACTGTTATAACGTCCCTAATATGACCAAAAAACGTGTTTTTTAGAACATGATATTTCGAAAACTTGATGTAATGGAGATATTATAATACTTGAATCGGACTCCTTCAGAAATGTAAGGATTAAAGTTATAAATTTGTTGGCCTGTATTATTTTGTTTTATTTTATTTATTTATTCATTCAATTACAGAATCCTTGCCAAAGGCCATAATCGGTTCCAAAAACACTATTTATATAGATTGTTATATCAAAGTTCACATATTGCTTTATCTTGTAACCCTAATTAAGGAATATACTGGAGGTCAAAGGTTACAAAAGACGGTGTTTTACTTGTACATATGTAAATGGATGTTATTTCAACTTTTGTCAGAGACTTACAATAAAAATCTATGTGTTACTTTGTCAACCAAGAACTCCCTTAGCGCTAACAAGATTTATGGAAATTTATATATCCTTATTTAAGGTGTCACGATGAAACCCTGCGTTAAGTTTTAATTTATTGTCTAAAATTTCACAGATATGAAAGTGAATATTTTGATTTACTTTAAAGCGCACCTCTCTTGAAAAGAGTACTAGAAAAGGAGTAAGTCAAAAAACTGGGATAAAGATATTTATAGAATATGTGACTATGGACGGAGTTTCATCCGATTTTGATGAAACCTCCTCTAAGTCCGGCAGTTCTGGACCGATTGCTCTAAAAATTTGTGTCTGGCCTACTATCCAATAGTACTAACCTTGGTGCAAATTTCGTCAAAATCGATTTTTTGAGTTGGGTCACTTGATATGAAATTGCCCATATGTAGAATAAAATGCAATTAAAATTGGACTGGAAATCCGAAGATTTTGGAAAATCGTCAATAAGCAAGGGAAACAGATCTCAAACTCTATCAATATTTAAAGTTCAAAAAGTTACATTCTGTAAATTGTTAAACAAAATTTATATACACTTACTTACTGCCTTATTCATAAACATTTATCAAAGGTTTATGGCACAAATTTTGTATGAAAATTTGATTTATAAACCTTTGATAAAAGTTTATGAAAAAGACCCTTAGTGACAAATCTTCATTGAATTCACAACCTATGTTGTACCGTTGTAGACTTTCTTTACTACTTTTTATCATACAACAATACGAAACAAGTTGTAAATTGGCTAATTAATGAAAAATCAGAGCTAATCGATAAAAACCGAAAACCGGAAGACAAAACATTTTAAAGTTATGACAAAAAAAGTAATAAATATCTTAATAAATACAGAAAAAAAAGAAAAAATTTTTTTAAAAATATAAAAAATTAACTGTGAAACAATAAATGCATATAATTACATATAAAATAAATCAAATCTAGTGATAGTTCGACTTACAGGTTTCAAGAGAATGTTTACAAACTTAATATGTTTAAAAAATATTAAGTTTGGATACAAAGTTTTTCTAAAATCTGTAAGTCTAACTATAACCGATAGTTAAAACAATACAATAGAAAATAACATATAAATTACAATTTGATATTAATTTAAATAATCTACACTTCTATAATACAATTGCTCATTATTGTTGTTATTATTATTATTATTATTATTATTATTATTTTTAAACCAGCGTGGTGGTTGATCTTCATCAAAATCGAAATTAATTAAAACTTCTCTTTCAGGGTCGCCATTCAAAATGTCATTGTCAACATCGTCATCATAAATGAGTACCTCATTTTTAATTAAATCTTCATAACGATAAGTTTTCTCATTGCAGTCCCCTTCCCCCTCTTGTTCAGATTCAGACTGATGAGCCCAAGAGCCATAATCACCAGAGGTATCTATGTTGTATTCAACCAAAGAAGTTGCCACAGAATTGCAACTACTAGCACGGTTATCAATGTTACTACTAGTACTACGCTTAAGATGTTGTACTTGATGGACTTTGAAAATATTGGGTGATTTGGAATACATTTCGGCATGTTTAACTGTTAATAAATTTTCTGAACTTTGGACTTGTGGGATTTCGAAAATATTTTGTGCTTTCGTGCGCATTTTTACATGTTTTATTTCCGATAAATCTTCTGAACATTGTACATCATTGATTTTGAAAATAATTGGTGATTTTGAATACATTTCGGACTGTTTTACTTTTAATAAATCTTCTGAACTTTCTTCTTCGGGAATTTTAAAGAGATTGTTATTAAATTGTTCCTCTTGTTCAAGAATTTCAAGTTGTTGAGAGTTTAAGGAAAGATCAGCGTCTAAAGAATTTGAAGAACCATAGTCGAATGTTACCAATAAATTGTCACTGCCCGGATCGGAAGAACTCATATAAGAGGCATATGAAGTATAGATGTCAATTTCTTCATCCTCATTATTGTCCTCCTCCTCCTCATAGATCTCATCAATGGAGTCTGGTTGTTCGCTCATTTCTTGCATGCGTTCAGCAGCTGTGGTCTCTTCCAATAATTCTCTTTCGAAGTATTGACTCAAGGTGATTTTATTGCTGCTAGTCCTGGCCACCTTTGCTTTATCGTGCTTAAGTTTAGGCATTGGCACTTTAGTGGTTGGACTTAGAAGAACTTCCTCAAAGTATTGATTAAGGCCCGATTTCATTTCCTTTGCATTAATTGCGCAATTTTTATCATATGAAAAATTCTATTCGTTGCCAGTAGTAATTGTATTAAAATTTTTTTGCAGAATTTTTGTATAGAGAAGGAAGCAAAAAATTACAAAGCAAAATAAAAAGAAAGATAAAAAAGAAATTAATTAATTTATATTGTATTTTGTTCTAAAACGAAAAAAGAAAAAAAATATTTAATTACTTTAACTTAAAATTTAAACTATATATATATTTTTTTTAAATTAGTTAATTTATATTTACAATAAAATTATTTAAAATCATTATTTAAGGAAATATTTACAAAATTATTGATTAATTTAATTGATTAGGGATTAGTGCACATTTTGGAGGAAACATAAGTTTAATATTATTTAATTATATTAATTATTTTTGTTAATAAAAATTATTATTGAAATTAGCAAAGAGGAAAAATTATGTTTTTAGCTTTTTTTATGAAAGCATATTTTATAAAATAAAAGTTGGGAAATGAAATTAAATAAAAAAAAAATTTTTAATTAGGTTTCAATGGAAGATTTTTATTGGGAGGGTCATTTTAATTAAAAGCTTTAATAGAAGATATGAAATAAAAAGTTCTTCTTTATTGTTTAACACAAAGAATAATGTTTCTTAAATGTTTTTTTTGGTTTTACTCCATTCTAAAAATTTAATTCTTTTTTCAGCAAGTTTTTATGAACCAATTTTTTTTGTTCAAATATCGAAACCTTTTCTTGAAAATCTTAATTTTTTTACAAATTTGTGTTGAAACTTTCACAAAATTTAGTGTAAATTACTATAAAATCATGAAAATATTATTAAGTTGTTTAGATTTTTAAAACTTTATTAAAATTTGAATAAAAGTTTTTAATATCGAATAGAAAATTTCAATTTCGAACAAAAATTTTGAGTTTGAAATAAAAATTTTGGAATAGAAATTTTCAACTTCGAATAGAAATATAAAATGTGAAAAATTTAAATATCGACGGGATATTTTTTATAATTTTCAATTTCAAATGGACATTTAACTTCGTATAGAATTTCAATTTCGACGAGTTAAAAAGGAAATTTGCATTTGTAAAAAGAATTTTTTTTCGAAAAAAATTTTTAGTTTCAGATAGAAATTTGAATTTTGGAATAGAAATTTTTAACTTGGTATATAAATTTTCAACTTCGAATAGAAATGCAAAATGTCAAAAGTATCAATTTCAAAGTAAAATTTTTCAATTTGGAGTAAAAATTTTCAATTTAAAAATAAAGACAAATTCAAGAAAAAAACCTTTCAAATAGAAATTTTCAATTTGGAATAGAATAAAAAAATTGAATAAAAATTTTCAATTTAATAAAAAAATGTCAAATTCAAAAAACTTTTCAAATTCAAATAGAAATTTTCCATTTCAATTTTAAATAGAAATTTTGAATTTTAATTAGAAAATTTTTTAATTTCGTATAGAATATTCGATCTAATTAGAAATTTAAAATGGAAATTTTAAATTTTGAAAATAGATTTTTTCTATAATTTTCAAATTTTGAATAGGAATTTTGAAATTATTAATTTTGGATAGTAATTTGCAATTTCGAATAGAAATATTTAATTTGTAAAAAAAATAATTTCCAAAAAAAAAAAATCAAAATAACTGAAATATATTTAAATTTTCAATAGAAAGTTTAATTTCAAATAGAAGTTCTTCAATTACGAATAGAAATTTTCCATTTCAAATATAAATTTTCGATTACGAATAGAAAAAATTTATATAATTTTAAAAATTTGAATAGAAATTTTAAAATGATAAATTTTGGATAATAATTTGCAATTTCAGATAGAAATGTTTTTTTTTTTTTTTGTAAAAATAAAAATTATTTTTAAAATATTTCAATTGGAATAGAAATTTCCAATTTCAAATAAAAATTTTCAAATTTAAAGAGAAATTTTTAATTTCGAATAAACATTTTTCATTTCATTCTCGATTTTGAGTAGAAATATTCAATTTCGAATAGAAATTTCAATTCAATTAGAAGTTTACATTTTAAAAAATTTTTCAATTTAAAAAAAAATTTTATATAATTTTAAAATTTTGAATAAAAATCTTGAATAAAAATTTTGAATAAAAATTTTGAAATTATAAATTTTGGATTCAAAATTTTTGAAAACCCCGAAATATATTTAAATTTCAAATATAAATTTTAATTTTTTTTTAAATAGAAATCGAAAATTTCTTATTTAAGCTAAAATTTCGATTAGAAAATTTCAATTTTAAACGCAAATTTTCAATTTTAAAAAGGAATTTTGAATTTTTAACAGAAATTTTTAGTTAACAAATTTCGATTTTTTGCCAAAAACTTTAGAATTTTTGACAAAAAATTTCAAATCAAAAATTTGGATAGTAATTTGCAATTTCTAATTGAAGTTTAATTTATTTTTAATTTTGAAAAACTATAATAAATTAAATAATTTCAGAAATATTTAATCAAGAAGTTTTTGAATAATATTAGATATATTTCGAGGGTTAAACCAAATTAGGGGTTTTAGTAAAAAATTAGGCAAATTTTAAAATTCTTTCATATTTGTAAGAATTTAGAATTAAAATTTTCTACTAAATTAAAAGTGTTAACCAAGGTTTTTTTAATTTTTGTTAAACTTACCCATAGTACTTAAACTAAACTAAAAAAGTATGTGAGGCGGTAAAATAAGGAAGTTTTAAAGGGTAAAATGAAAACTAAAAAAAAAATCAACTAAAACTACATCAGGATAGTGGAAGAAGTAGAAAGAAAAAAAATTAAATAAAATGGTGCTTTAAACTAAACTAATCGTTTATTAAAACTAAATTAAACTAATTTTGGAAAGGAAAAAAATGAAATTTCAAAAGAAAACTTACGGGTTATAAAACGGCCAACGAAAGTCACTTTTATCTCTTTCACTCTCTCTCTCTCTCTTACACACTCCCACTTTTTCTCTTCCTGTTCTTTAAGAGTTACTCATAAAATTTTCTATATATTTTATTGGTTTTCGTAAGAAAGAAAATTGTGTAAAAAGCTAAAATACGAAGTAACACGAAGATCGAGATTGTACGTACGAGTAGAAGATGAAGACAATGATGATGATGGCTTTAAACGTTGATGGGTGAAGTTTGGGTGTTAGAGCAGCTCCAATACGTATATGTAGTATTTTATAGATTGATTAATTTTTATATAATATAGAGATCCTAAATATACAAACACACATACACATACAAAATAATCATAATCATAGGTCCAAATAATGTAGATCCAAACCAACTCCATTTTATATAGTATATATGTACGTTATTTATTAGATATTTTATTATTTTTGTTTGTTTTTCTTTTAACTTTTGTTTGCGTTTGAGGGGGTTATGAGGAATATCCTTAATCCTTGGGATATTTATATTATAATGATGGTTTTTTTTAAATTATATATATATTACAATATATGTGTATAATCGTTAAATAAAGCCCACAGCCAGTAAAATATATTTTGATATTTTTTTTCATGTCGCTCTCTCTTTCTTCTCGCTTTCAAGGTGTTTTAAGCCAGTAGTCAGTCACATGCTTTGCTGACTCAATGGTGATTTGTTTATGATTTGTTTCATTGCAAGTTGTTTGGGGGTCATCTTCCAAAAATATATTCAACTTTTGTGGGATCATTTACAATGAAGTTGCAAAATATTTCAATTTTGTGTGAAGAATATTTGTTTTGTGTTTGGTTTTTAATTTTACACATTTTTTTTGTGGATTATTTAATTATTAATTAAATATTTTGTTTTAAATATTGTTGTAAAACATTCACATGCATTTTAAGTTTATTTTGCTGTTAAGATTTTTTTGGAAATTCTCTTTAGTTTAAAACATTTTTTTTTTTAACAAAATTAGAGGGGACACATAACATTGTTAGACATATTTGTTTGTTGTGTAGTTGTTGTTTTTTAATTTTTGTTGCACAAATTGTTGTGGGGGAATTGAATTTGTTTATATTTTTTTAATTAGGATTTATTATTAATAATTTATTTATTTTGGTGTTCAAGTAGACAGGAAGACGTTTTGGTTTGGTTTTTGTTTTTTTGAGTTATAGACAGATAATATTGTAAAAAAAAGTATAAAAAAAAATAAATACAGAAAATTAGATACATTTTAGGTAGATTTTTGATTGTTGCAATTAAATATTAATATTGTAGTACAAACAAACATTTAACATACAAAATGCGAAAATTAACAAATTACATTTATTTTGTTGAGAGGAATTTTTACAGTTTAGTAACAGCTTTGTGTGTATGTGTGTGATTTTTTATATTTTAAAATAAACATAAAACATTTAATATGGATTAGTTGGTGCTAAAAAATGAAATGAATGACGTGCTTTTAGTAACGACAATGTAAATGATCATAATGAGATTAGTATTTTATAAAAATATAAGATCAATGGAAATCGAAAACAATTACCCGGTCCAATTAAATTATTTTCATATTGTAAAAATAAGTATTACATTTTTTACATTAGTTTCCTTCTTTTAAATAGTTTATTAACTAAAGATATTAAAATTGAGATATTAAAATTGAGTCATGAAACTCAAATAATTTTAATTTTATTCAAACTTAAATTAGTAAATCTGTTTCTGAAATCTATTAGAAATTTAAAATGTCTTTGAGAGGTAGTTAGAATTTCTGGTTTTGGGCAATTTTTTCTATAGAAAATTTTTCTTCGGTACACCAGAACGATTTTTCCAAGATCAAGGAGTTATAACCCATATTACTCCAAGTTATACTAAAATTATTTCATAATTTGCTCAAGATACTTTGAAAGTCTGACAAAAAATTTTAACTTTTCAAAAATCTATTTGTATATAAGTTCCACAACTATTCTGGGCCATGTGTGTTGCAACGAACCAATATGTGAAGCGAATGAACAAATAAGCCTAGCGAATGTAGACTCTAGAGAGATCCGCAAAGTCGTGGCTGCTTGCCGACAGTTTGATTCAACACTGCAGAGGCCTAGAAGTCTAATTATATCTGTCTTAGGAGTTACATG